TCTTTTTTATTAACATTCTTTTTCCGTTCCTAATGGTGAACAGACATACATGTGTGTGTAGTTCCTGGTAATTATCAATTCAAAATACACATTATGTTTAATAAAATAATTGCTGCATATTAACTGTGTATTTCTGTTCACCAAATATTTATACACTACCGCCTTGTCTGTCTTAATGATGTTTAAACATGTGAGAAAACATATTAGATTGAAACGCTTATTTTTTTTTTGCAAGATAATTTTTTGTTTTAATTAATTATTATAGTCTAAAGCGGTAAGAGTGGGATAGGTTGCTCCTCCGCTCCTGGCGGTTAGACAGGCCTGATCTAGCACAAAAGTATCGTCGAATTTAAATTTGTGCAACAGGCAAAAGTTTTCCAGTACAATATATTTCAGATTTAATTTATATATATTACAATATAATAAGATCATATTAATATAAAACGATACTGTATACTATATTTTGCGCGGAATTTGTCATTGTTTTTTAACGCGATGAGTTTTATAAGTGTTATATTAATTGTTCTGATCGTTGTAAGTTATTTTGTCTTAAATTATCGTCGTCAATTGCCCATAATTAAAGCCGCTAGACGTCTGCCGGGTCCAAAACCACTTCCGTTAATTGGAAACGCCTGCTATCTTTTGAAGAAAGATTTTGATGGTAAAAAATGTTTATTTTTGAAAAAAGAAAAAAATAATTGATATTACTGTTATCTATGAGTCTTTATTTTATGCGTGTTTAATGTAAAAAATTTTCCATGTTCCTATTTCAACTTTGCAATAATTTCAGAATTTTTGAATAGTATGTTAAGCCTTATGGATGGTTATTCATCCCCTGCTCGATTCTGGTTCGGCAATAAATTATATATTGTTGTATATGAACCGGAACAAATAAAGGTGAGTATAATAAATATTGCAAAATAACATCAATATAAGTCTGTTAATTTACGTTTTACTACATATAGATGCATAAGAATTGTAAAAAAAAAACTATTTTATAAAAATAAATAATATAATTATAATATGATTATCATATATACTACAGATTATTTTGAATATTTATCGAGCAAGCTAATGGAATAATTCTATCTATATATATGTTTATAAATATACATCAATGCAAACACAAATATAATAGTATTATGTTGGATATACAATATTTTAGTATAGAAATGTAAAACAAACAAAATTTTTATAAAATTATACAGATTGTCCTGCAAAGCTCCAGTTGCTTGGATAAAGGAGAAGTGTATAAATATGCTGAGTCGTGGCTAGGTACGGGATTGCTCACAGCTCCTGGTAAATGACGCTTTTCAGAATTTAAAATATTAGTTCTTTCTATACTATGTGTAAGGCTTGATAAATATATCCATAAATAATTTCTTCTATTATTTTTCCCTGTGTAAACTTTTAGCGTCCATATGGAAACACACTCGAAAAATGATAGCTCCGTGTTTTAACGCAAGCTTATTGAAGGTTTTTTTCGATATATTCGCTAAACAATCGTTGACATTGGTGCATGAATTAGAAAAACTTGAATCGTATGAAAAAGAGGTTGACCTTTTTCATTATATATGGCTTTGTACCTTGGATATGATATATGGTAAGACTAAATATATAATTTAATTTTTATATTAATTATTTGCGTAACATAAAGTTCGATAGAAATCCGTTTGTTGAATCAATTATTCTAAATCGGTCTTTTGAATGAGTGACAGAAATTATACCTATTTGAACGTTTTAAGTGTAACTAAACATCGAAATTGAATATTTATGTTTTAGATTATTTAAATAAGAAATGACAATTTCTATTAATAACATGTTCAATAATAAATTTTTTCATGTGATTTTCTCTTTCTCTCTAAAAAGAATCTACAACGGGAATGAAGCTGGAAGCACAGTCAAATAGAGACAATCGTTATGTAAAAGCAATTACAAGGTATATTTTTTACTTATCTTAATCATTGATAAAAGGATATATTTACTTTTTGAATATATATTTACGTTTTTCTAAGTGATTATAGTCAATCAAATGAAATAAAAATCGATCGTAGATAAGTAGATAAGTAGATAAGAAAATTGCAATGAATTATAAAAACATGTATATACAAGCATTTCTTACAAAAGAACTTATTATTTTGTAAAAAATTTCTTATAAAAGAATTTAAAAAGAAAATATGTTTTAGGATAAAAGAGATAGTAGCAATCAGAATGCGAAATATATTTTTGTTACCTAATACTTTATTCAATTTGACCCATTTGAGTTGTGAGCAACTGAAGAATTTAGCTTTGATCCATTCTTATGCCGATAAGGTACATAAACACATTTACATCGATAATGTATTTGTGTATAAATATATATTAATAACTATGTAATTTTTTCTCGCATATACAGATAATAAAGAGAGCATCAAATAAGTTGAATTATACGAGTAAAACTGAAAGTAGTAAGTTGGTTCATAAAACTTAACGAATTTTATAAATAAAATTATCAAATTTTATAAATAAAATTATCAAATTTTATAAATAAAATTTGATAAAAAGAGAAAGAGAGAATTTTATTCATTTGTTCTTCTTTCAAATAATACAGCTACAAAAACGTTTCTGGATATTTTAATGAAAACGTCTTATGAGGGAGAAACGCTTACCAAGAAGAACATTCGCGATGAAGTTAATACGATATTAGTAACAGTGAGTATATATAAATTATATAAATTACATTGTTCTTTGAAACGAGCACAATTAAAAATTGTTGCCTATTTATTAATATTATTTTTAATATCAAATATTTCCATTTATAGGGGAGTGATACAACTGCTGTAACGATGAATTTTACAATCTTTATATTAGCAAACTTTCCAGAAATACAAGTACGTATTCTGTTTGATTCATTTCAGTCAAAATCAGTCAGATTCACATCATTTAATGATAATTAAATGTAATATTTATATATACGTATAATTATACAAATAATTCTAAAAATATGTACTTTACAAAAGGAGAAAGTATATAAAGAATTGTCAGAAATTTATGGCAATGAAAATCTAAATTCTGCGCCGATCAAATATGAGGATTTACAACATATGGATTATTTGAGTCGTGTAATCAAGGAAACGATGAGACTCTTTCCTCTTGTGGCTTGTGTTACACGACACTTAAAAGAAGATTTAAAAATAGGTTTGCTTATAAATTTAGATAATTTTTTGCTTGAAAATAAAATTATATATATGTATGGTATATATACTTATATGTATGGTATATATA